CCCAGCTTGGTACCTGGGGCTCTGCTTCTTCCCTCTTCACTCCCGTTGGAACAAATTAAAAGCTGCTGTTAGTGCAGCAAATGGGGGTGGTTAATTAACTAAGAATGTGACACCCTGAGGCCACAGCACTGGCTTGTATAGGTTTTAAGTAATAGGCAACAAACAAGTATTCTTAATGGTCAACCGTGTGTAGTAGGTAAAAGCTTGGAATTGTTTCCTGAAGAAACAGCCTCGGAAGCTGTTGACTGTAAACTGCCTTCTGCGTGCTCTTTTATGGTGAGTCTTGAGTTGAAGTCCATCAGTCACCTGTTTCATCAGGTTCGGCCCTCCTGGGTTCTCTGGATGTATTACCTGGCTTCATTATGCGGTTGTTCATTCTGACAGAAAACTCATCGCTGTCAAGGACTGACTATGTGCCAGGCCCGGGACTGTGGGTACTTCCCTGATCACTTTGTCTTGAGTTTTTCCCCATCTGGTTCAACCTGAGCACTTTACAGAGCTGGAGTCACTGGGTCACTCGGTTCCCACCAAGAGCATTGGCAGAACACATTCCTTAGTCTGGTGGCTGGTGCTTTCTGCCACCTTTCCCTGACCTGCATGGCTGCCTCTTCTCCCACGATGCCCTCAAGGTTGGGATGCTGGAGACAGATCGTACCTGGAGATGCCAGTCCCTGTGAGCACTCCCCTGCCTGTCTCACGTGTGCCCTGGTAGCACAGCTCTCACCGTGTTTATTAGGCCAGGGATCTTCTTAGGAATGGTGACGTAACCTGAGAAATTACCCATGCAATAACCATTTCAATATGTGTCAGGTGCGGTGCAGAGCACTTGATATATGTATCAGTCATCTCACAAAGTCCCACACCAAGCCTTTCCAGGAAGCTTCATTCAGACACTTTATAGCTCTGGGAAATGAGGCTCAGAAAGGTTGTGGAAAAGTTCAAATCTCTGGAAAGTGGGAGATTTGAACACACATTTGGTGACTCCAAAGCCCATTCTTAACCAGTCTACTCCAGATACGCCCACAGAAGCCTCTGTCTAGGATGGCAGAATCTCTGGCCGTAGCCCTGATAGATCAGTGTTCCATGTCTGCCTGGAGCCAGGGTGGAAGACAGTGCAGTGACAAGTGATCAGTCTGCCCTGCGTGTGGGAGTGGAGAATGACAGCTGTGTGTGTGACGTGCGGATGCATTTCATCCACGTGGCACCTGAAATTATCTCAGTGTGTTTTAGCTTCCATTTGCTGCTGTAATAAAAAATTACCACCAATTTAGTAGCTTAAAACAGCACGAATGTATTTTCTTATAGTTCTTGACGTCAGAATTCCAAAGTGTATCTTATGGGGCTAAAATCACTAGGTTTTGGCAGGGCTGGCTCTTTCTGGAGGCTCCAGGGGAGAATCCATTCCTTGTCTTTCCCCGAATCTAGGGGCTGACTACATCCCTCAGCTCATTAACCCCTTCTTCCTTCTTCAAACCCAGTAGCATAGCATCTTGAAATCAATGTCTGTCTGTCTGTCTGCCTGCCTTCTGTTTCCATTGTCACATCTTCTCTGACTCTGACTTTCATCTCTCTCTTCTAAGGACTCTTGTGATTATTATATTGGACCCTCCTAGATAATTCAAACTAATCTCCCCATCTCAAAAGCCTTAAATTTAAACCCATAGCCTCTTTGTTATGTAAAGTAGGATGTTCATAAGTTCTGGGGATAATGATGCGGACGTGGGTGGAGTAGGGGCGGAGCGATATTCTGTCTACCACAGAGTGTAGGGAAAACCCATGCTCTGTGGGCTAGACTGGGCACACTGTTTCTCAGGTGGTTTCAGAGGCTCTGGAGCAGCTGAAGTGTTATTTGGGTGTGAGCTGAGCACAGTCTCATGGAGCATCTGTCTTGCATGTGCTGAGAAGCTGTGCACTTGACGACTTCCAGGAGCGAAAAGTCTTCACTACAGTGCACACAAGAGCTGGTGCCTGTGGTGGTGCCTTTTGCTTCCAAGCTCAGCCTTGGATGGTCACAGGGTCTCTTGGTCTCTGGGTTTCTGTGGAATTAGGATGACCGTTTTGCCTCTATGTCCACAGAAGTGCCATGCCAGTCAGACTGCGGGAACGGATCACTGTGCTCCTATTAAGCGAGCATGTGGGCAGACTGGTGTGTCAGGAGCGCAGTGTGAGAGGGGCTGGACTGGAGTGGGAAGCCCACAGAGCAGCAGGCCCCGGGCCTGGGAAGGGCGTTCTGGGAATATGGATGTCTCAAGAACATGTGCTCAGCAGTAGTGCAGGCCCAGAGGGGGTGGAAGGTGGGGAGGGGAGTGACCGAGAAGATAGGCAGAGGCCACATCAGGAGTGGTCTGGGAGGGGCTGGGCTTCCAGCAGAGGAATGAGGGCAGATTTGCACATTGAGGAGATCACCTTGGTGGCCAGAGCCCCTCGAGATCACGACCCGGGTCTGGTTCATGGCCCAGTGCCCAGCCCTTTGGGGCATGGATGAAGGTGGAATGCCCAGTCGGTCGTGAATGGACGCCACAGGCCAGCCTCACTGTCCGTTGAGGCCAGCTCACCGGGCCCACCTCTGAACAGCTCCACGTACATCACAGAGACCTTATTTGGAAGGGTTTAGGTTCTTGTCTGCAGGATACAGTACATCTCACTGTCTTGGGCTCCTTTCCACAGTGCATTCATGGCAAGTGCCCAATGAAAATCTGTTAAAAACATGTTGCAATAGAAATACAGGGCGAACAGGAACCAAATGAAAAGCTGACAAAATCCTACAGGTAAGATGATTGGCACCAGAGTCCTGTGCACCTCAGAGCTGCTCCTAAATGAAATTCATTTCCTTTTTGCAGAGTGCTTTCTCTGCACAGCTTTGTGTGGTCCTCCTCAGACCCCCTTCTCAGAGGAAAGTCCTGCAAATTGCCTTTTAATAGAGCCTGTTGAGGAGACTCAGACCCAGTGGAGGGATGGGGTTTGCCATTGGTCCCAGCTTGAGGATGGAAGGATGGAGGTACTTAGCTTGGCCCCTGGCCTGCAGTTTTGTTTCCCTCCCCTGACGCACCCCTCTCTTCTCCATTCTAGCCCAGTTATCCTTCTCTCTTAAGCTTCTGGTGTGTGTTGTCCTTACCCTTGGTTCATCCTTTCTGAGGTGCTGCCTGTGGCATTTCATACACTGTGTGCTTGTTGGTGACTGGCCCTGTCACCCTATCTACATAGACCTTGTGTACCATGTATACTGAGAGTCCTCGGAGGACCAAGGTATGGTTTGAGATTTGTCTGTATGCCCCAATGTGACCTTCACACCAGGTACTGTTCTTTGAAAGAATGAGCTACTTGGCTTCCGAGGGCAGGGGCAGTGCAGTGGCGGTTTTGGTCACCACTGCACCTAGCGTAACACCTGGCTCATAAATGGTGAGTGGACCTATGTCCTGGGGGGTTGTATGAGAAGAGAAGTGGGGGTGCTAGGATGCCTTGGGTATTACTGAAGGGTTGTGGGGGGATTGTGTCATCTCCTTCCTGGCCTCCCACTGGCCGTGTTACTCTGGTTGTGGCCATCGGGGAGCTGGGCATCTTCCAGGAAGTTGCGGCCTTCGATGTTGTAGAGACCGTGGCCTCGTCGTCCCTCAGGAGTTGTGGAGGCATTTAGGTTTTAATAAGGTAACAACACCTTCCCAAGTGTTTCAGTTCAGGTGAGGAAGTCTGGAATCTTATGTATGTGTGGAAGGGAGGATGGAAGGAGAGGAAAGCTGGAGAAGGAAGGTGAATCAGGAAGCAGAGGAGCCTCAGCAGGTCACGGGCTAGTGCGCCATGTGGATTTAGATCTTCTGTTACTGCTTATTCCTCACTTTAATTCGAATGATGTGTGTCTGTCTGTTTTTGCACAGCTGTACTTTCCCAAGGCCCATGTTTATCTGAGCTCAGGGATACAGTTTCAGTGGGTGTGCCTGGTTTCAGGATAAGCAGCATGAACATGCCTGTAGCATATGGATGTGCTGGGTTTGTGGCCTGAGACCCTGGGCTCCATCAGAAGTGTTCTGCACGTTGTGTCTCAGTGTAACAATTGCCCATTAAATACCAGACTGCCAGCATATGGTTTTCCCCCACATCCCCCTTGTTGGGTGGAAACTTTAGCTGTGTGGTTAGAATATTTTCCCATCAATTAGCATTTCATAATTAACATTTTGGGGGAGAATTCTGCAGTTAACTCTGAATGGCACATTTGCAGATTGTTACAGAAACTGTTAAACCAGCGTCAGGAGATCTTCAGCTGCTCTTTCCCATGATGGATAAGTGGTGGGTCAGGAAAAGGTGGGGCCAACAGGAGGATTCAGGGGCTCCCTCTGTGGATGCTGTAATTAAAGTGGGAAGTCTGGCGGAGTTGTTATCCCTGCTATTAAGAGTGCAGATGGCTAACAGCCACATCTCTAAGAGTTAGAGTTAGACCTTTTAAAGTCTTTTCTTTTTCTTTTATGACCCACCCTCTCTGTTCCAAGCATAGGTATGGATGCAGTGAAGAATTTTCTCATTAAAAGTAACAGCTTATTCCCACACTCATTCCTGGTCTTGGAATGAAAAACCTGTTTCCTTAGACTGGAGGAATTGCCTATCTGTCTTGGCTTAATAGGGCTTTTGGACCAGAGTGTCTGGTAGGCGAATTTTATAACCAATCAGTGCTCCAAGCGGATCCAACTGGAAGGGCTCCAGCTGGCAGCTCGTGGTCTCTCTCTCTCCCAGTTTTACTGTTAATGAATTATTATTTAACCCCCAAACACAAAACAGCTTACTCCTATTGTTTTAGGGGAAGTGAGTGCTCATGATCCCTGTGGCCTGGCGGTTAGGAATCTCCTGGGCTGGAAGGAGTTTGGTGGGATGGAGTGGGGCACAAAGAGTGTGGACGTTGCTCAGCGACTGGCATGACCCTGGGATCATGTGTGCGTTTCTACTCCGTGGGGATCTGTGCTGGAAAAGCAAATTGGCTTCACTCCTCCTTGTGTTCTCTTGTTTTCCCACAGGGAGTGGGGCCGGCCAGCAGAAACAGTGGGCTGCACAACATCACCTTCAGATATGACAGTAAGTAAATGGCTTGACCGCTGAAGAATGGAGCCCTTTCAGTGATCCGAAGTCTACACAGTTGGGCTTCATCAAGGACACTGCAGGTCTTGGGGCTGAGGAATTTTCTGAACCTGCTCAGGTTTGTCAACAGAGCTAAAGCACCTCAGTTTCAATTAAGCCACTCAAATATTTTGGAGCTTGAACTGGTCAAGTGTCCCCCATAGTGTCCAGGGAAGCTGTGTGCGGAGATCTCCCCTGATTTCCTCAGGACATAGCCATATCCTTAAGAACAAACAGAGATGTGTGTAGGGCCCATCAGAGGGAAAATGAGTGAAGCTTCCCAAGTGCAAGATGCTTTGGAGTGGTGGGGACTGTGGCAAACTGGATAGCCATGTATGTCTGTTCTTAAAGGGGCCCTGGCTCCTCCATCCCAGCTCCTTGTGCCCTTGAGAAATTGCCCCTGAACACACCAGATGTGATTTCCAAGGAGAGTGGGGCATTTGTATTTTTGGTATGAACATTTAAAAAAATATCAGCCTTTATTTAAAATTCTTCACAAACACAGAGTGGGCCAAGTGAATCTGTGTCCCACGTTGGCACAGGGGACTTTCATTGGCTGCCTTTGACTCAGGCCTGAGTTCTAACCCTATTCCCCACCTATCGGCTGTGAACTATGACAGGTGACTTCACATCTCCAAGCCTCAGTTTTCTCATCCTGTAAAATAAAGATTAGTGTCTTCCTCAGTGTCGTTTTGAGACTTAAATGAGGTAATGTGTATAACTGCTCAACTCAGGAGCTGGCCTTCAGTGTGCACTCATTAATTGGTATCTATTAATATTAGATAGAAGTCATTCCAATTGGAGTTGGCATCCAAGCACCTTTTTGGCTCTTTCTCTCAAGGAAGTGTTACTTTTTCTGGCTGAATTCTTTTCTAAGGGCAGGTGGGGGTGCTTTTTCTGATTAATCATATAGAACCCCCTCTAAGGATTTGCTTTCATGGCCTAGAAGATAATTATATAGAATTATGAGCATTTTAGCTTTATGAGCCATAATTTATAAGTAAAAACATTGACAAGAAGGAGCTTGATTCATATTTAGTGACTCCTGACGGTCGATTCATCTCTTGGAGAGGGCTGAGTAAGGGCTGTAGGTCACATTGAGTCCTCTGGAACAATCACTGTCAAAGCAGGGTTTTTGAGGCCGTGTGTACAATCTCACAATTTTAAGATACAGATATGTACATCAAGTTCATGCCCACAGCTGCTGACGTGGGTACCTGAAGTTAACCGACCAGGGCTTATGTGGGAAACTCTGCCATTTCACATTCGTGGTGTGTGCATGTTCTGGGGGAGTGCTGTGATGGTAATGAAAGATTTGCAAGTCTGTGATACTTAATTCAGCTAAGTAAAGACATGTGTAAGGGATCTTTCTTTATGTTAGAAAGTTAATTTCTAATATATGTTCTTGGTCCTGGTAGATCTTGTATTACATTCAAGAGTTCAAAATTTTCCGGTCAGCTGCAAACAAGTATTTGCATCTCTAATTTAATATGAGGTTTTGTGAAAGAGGATCTATACCTGTAAAACTAAAAAGTACCTTATTGTTTTCTTCAAGGGACTAGATATTTGGCCCACGTGCCAATGTCTGTCTCTAGGTCATTCTTTTCTTTCTAATTCTTCAGCATTTAATTAGAATTTAATTCACAACTTGACTCCTGAGACATCTGAAGCTAGGCTGCATTTTGGCCAAATGTTGTTTGGGCATAATTTTTCTGTAACCAGAATCCAAAACATTAGAGTTGCTAATAATTGGATCCAGACTGTGCAGAAAACTTAGTCATTGTTTTCCATTGAAAAAGATAATTTCTTTCTCCCACAAGGAAGTTCCTGTTATTGCTCAGTTGACTGGTTACTAGTTTTGTTTGAAATAGCTAAGAACCAATTACCAAGTTTTCACCTAAAGCACAAAACTACAAAAATCTTATTTTCCTACTCCTTTGCCATTTAACGTTTCAAAGAAAGAAAATGTCTTGCCTTTAAGTCAAAACCGGCTTTCACAGATCCTCCTGCCTCCTTTCACGCTGTACTTCTTGTTTTTTCTTCAGGCTCTGGGGGGTAATGCCTGAGTAGGTTGTAATACATTTTCTTAATCCGTAGACTTTATATTTGCATAATTGTATTTACAAACCCAGAGAGTGCTGACTTGGGCATTAGGGATGAACAAAGGGAAAAAAGCCATGATTTACTCTTGTCTGTGCATCTTTTCCTAAAGCTGTGTAAGTCAAAGGTTTCTTTCAGTGTAGACTGCAGTAAATGAAAATATCTGAACTTTACAAGTATGGTGGGACCTTGTCTTTGTTATATTGGGAAGCTGGTCCCAGCCAGGGTTTTTGCAGACCGAATATGTCTCATCCAGAACTTATTTTAGTCATAAGCTTTGTGCCGGGAATAGAACGGCAAGAGCCCTGTGTGAGCCATCCGAGGTGGCTTTCTGTCTGACCCCGGGCCGGTCAGTGGTGGCATCCTGAGCCCCGCAGCCCATCTCTCTAGCTGCAGTTTCCTCGTTTGTTCAGGGTTGGGTGTTAAACCAGATGTTTAAAAAAATTTCCTTTTCCAATTAAAAAATTCTCTTCCGGAGACCAGAGGACACATGTTGAATGCTTTGAGAGTGAATTTTCATCAGACGTAGAATTCAGTTTTATTAATTATTAACATCTTTTCAAAAGAAGTAATAATGTAGAGGTGCCGTTTTTGAACTGGGGAGTTTTGAACGGGGGTTTACAGAAGGGAGTACGTCTAACGCACTTAGGCAGAAAAGCAGGACACAAAGCAGCGTGGAGGATGGAGTTTCAAAGGGGAGGGTGTGCATTTTAGTGCACGTGTGTTGTACTCTAACAAGAAAATTTTTAAAGTGGGAATATTTTGTGCAGGTTAAAAGTCTTGCAGGGATGTCCGTTAGAGATTAGCAGTTGTTTCTTTGTGGTGGGAGGTTGTGGATGGCTTTTACATTTTCCTTACATTCTTTTGTTACTTTCAAATATCGAGTGAACATTTTTAGTCATAAAAATGGGAAATGTGTGGTACAGTTTCCGGGGAGCGAGGGGAATGCAGAAGACTAGTTAAGCTTCTTCGAAAATGCTTCTGAATGCTTCACCTCAAACACATCCTGACTTCAGAGGGATCATGAGGAGGTTTGGACATCTGATGGAAGACCTTTTGCATCAGATACTTAAAGAAGGTTTTCAAGTTAAATCACTGAAGAGAAGTAGAGATAAAGTGGTGTGGGAATGAGGAGTTGGGTCTGTAGGTATGGCTGGTGGTTCTTCCTGCAGGAACGGACGGCCTGCAGCCATCCTCTGAGGTCCCTGCCTGGCTCTGAGTGGAAGCTTCTGGCAGCTTTTTAGGATCTTGCCAAGTTTGAAAGTGTACTTAGCAATACCAGGTGGCGCAGCTGCTGGCATGGCCGGGGCCGCATTGGCAGGTTGCAATGAGTAATGCACTCAGGCAAAATCAAAGAATCAGTGGTTTTCGTTTTTTGAGCAACGTGGGACTGTTTGGATTTGGTGGGTGTTGTGGGTGTCTTTGATGACATAGCTCTTGGGAATGAAAGTTTCATCTTTGACATGCTAGTTAACATTGAAGTTGCTTTGCTTATCACTAAGTCGGTCAGCCCCTTTGGCAGGTCCTAACTGGATTCTTTAACAGTCTGGCTGTGAATCCCTCCCCGGTGAGTTCACACCTTCATGTTAGTTCCTTTTCCCCAGTCACCTTGCTCTCTATGTTTCTTCAGAAAACAAACCAACTCCAGATTACTTAGTCATTGTTTTGTTTCAGATCTCTCTCAAATGCTGAAAACTGCTTGAACTGATGTAAATTATTTTTGATTTAGGTAAAAATGTCACAGTAGTAAAAAAGTTAATGCCTGATACACACACAAACTCCAGGCCTTACATGATCCTCCTCCCGCTGTCCTGGAATGTAATTCAAGGGGTGGGGGGTAGTGGTAGTAAAATAGACCCACTGCAGCATCTCGCAGTTTCCAAACGGCCAGCTTTTAATGTCATCTTTGGGCTTGGAGACACACATCTTTAAACAGTGGGTTTGGCCACCTCCAGACATGCTCTGTGTAATTTGAGAAGATAAACTTGGAAAGAAACAAAGAATAAATGTTTAACTGTCCTCATTCCTCCACCTCTCTAGACTGCACCACTTACTTGAATCCAGTGGGGAAGCACGTGGTCGCCGATGCCCAGAACATCACCATCAGTCAGTATGCTTGCCATGACCAAGTGGCAGTCACCATTCTTTGGTCCCCAGGGGCCCTTGGTAAGCGGTCACAATGGAGTCCACTGTGGTGCTTGTGTGAGTGATACCCAGTGCGGGGGTCCCAAGTGTGACGGCCTCCAGGGGCCAGGTAGGTCTTGACATGAGTGTAGCTTAGGTGTGCTTGGGCACAGACATACTTGCTACCTGGTTGCATGCCCCTGCTGCACATGCGTGCAGTTTGATGCTGTGCCCCAGGGCTTGACTTTTGTTCCCTTGGCTGTTATTGAGAGAGATGTGGATTTGAAAAATAGCATTGTGTGAGTGATACATGGCACTGAGGTCTTGGCCTCTGTGTCTCAGCAGGAGTGGGGAAAACAGGTGGCCCATCCAAGGAGGTAATGGCTTTAGCATCCAGCATCCATGATTGCTGTGGCCACACAGAGATGTACAGGCCAAGCATTGGCACGCTTTGTGAGTTTTCAGGAAAATCCCAGTTTTCATGATAAACCGTGAAATCAGTAATTTTTAAATGTTGGCAACTAACTGAATTTTTTGAAACTATGTGGGCTGAAAAGAACCAAACTCAAACAAACAGAAAAAAGCAAACCCGCATTATCTGGCCAGATTCAGGTCGGGGCTGAATCTGCTTGTCATTTTTAATGAATTGATGACACACAAGGGAGGATGGGGTGGTTGAGTGTGGGACGGGGGAGGGCCATGTGTTCAAATGGGCCTGGGTTTGAACCCAGAATCTACCTTTCCACAAGAAGCATTTACACCTGACTGAGCCCTAGCTTCCCCATTTGTAAAGTGCACAACTGACTCTTGGTTATAAGAATTAGAGACACACACATGGTACAGTTTCTAAAGAGAGCTCTTAAAAAATAATTGCTGTTGTTATCATCCTCAGAACCTGGTCCTCAGGTCTGCTCCCTTGACATTGCCTCCCAGTCTTAGAATTTAAAAAAAAATCTGGCTAAGGGAAAAATAAAAGTCTGATTTTCTTAATCTGAATGAGCTAAATCTCAGAGGAACCAGATTGCAGGAGAGGCGAGTACAGAGACAGGGAGGATGGATCAGACCTGTGGGCCTGACTCACTTATCCATGTAAATGCTGCTGGATCTGAACCCAATGGGTTTTCCAAAAATAACATTATCTTAGCATTTAAAAATATAAACCTCCTCTATGGATAAAAGGGAAGTGATCATTCCCATGTAAGACTGCATGGTTAAGGGGTTGGCCTGACAAACTGCAGGTTCCCTCTTTAGAATGAAAGTAAGAGATGTGAGAAAAACTGCTGTGTGGAACAGCGAGGGCAGAAGGATGTGCTTTTTCTGCATAACGGTGTGTGGGTGGGGATGGCTGGACAGGTTCTATCAGTTTCTATGAGGTTTTGTCAAGGAGACCCCTTGGGAGACAGAAAAGCATATGAGTCAAGAACACTCTGGGTTTGAATCTCACCTCTGCCATATAATCCCTGTGTGACCCTGGGCAAGTCATTTAGTGTCTGTACACCTTATCTATAAAATGGGGACAATAATACCTTCCTCCTACAGTCTTTAGGAGGATTTAATGAGTTAAGTAATGGGGAGGAATAAGTAAGTTCCTTTACGGGAAGTTGCCCTAGACCTGTAAACATTATATAACTACAAGGTGTTAATAGTACTGTGATAAAGGTGTCGTGTGATGTAAGATTTACATTTGCTGCCTCTGCCTCCATTCCCAGACTTGGTATAGTGGTTTTTCAGGCAAGTCTTTTAAAGATAAAGAGTGATTCTTTAGAACACCCACCCCTACCCTAGCTGATGACTTTTTATGTAATTGCAAGATATATGGTCTTATTATTAATCACCTGGCTTTTGTTAAACAGTTCTGGGGACACTACATGAACTAAACCTTAGTATAAGCAGTAAGGATTTGTTTAAAAATCCTTTTTGGTGATGAGGGGGATCTCAAAAAGATAAGTTCCTAAATAGTTGCTGGTCAGAAACCTTGGATCTTGTCAGCACGTCTGAACCTGGGGCTGTCGGTCAGCCAGCTCTCACCCTCGCAGGAAGCTTTGTGCTTGAAATACCACATGGCAGGGTCAGTACCTGCACACGCTGTCCTCCGACCCCCTGAATCGTGACACTCTAATTGTAGCTCCTTTGCCCTCCCCACCATAAAATGTGTGCTCTTCGTCAAATAATTACAGGATTGGAGAACCTATTCGAAAGAGAAAAAGATTTCCTTGGCCTTTGCCGTGGATAATTTTCCCACCTGGTTAATTGCATCCTGTGTAATTACTTTTGCCCTGGGAGGGGAAGGGTTGAAAATGTCTCCTTGTCTAGTGTTCCAAAAGAATGCGAAATCGATATCTTGCCAATTGAGGCCAGCTTCGGGGAGCTCCAGCTGCAGTTGGGCCACTCCAGTCTCCATGGGATACGGAGCCCTGGTACTGGCTCTTGTGGCCATCAGAACTTAATCCCTTTGAAAGCATCTAGTTGGACGGGCAGCGGGGGAAGCTCTGGTGGCGGGAGGGTGGGCCGGAGTCTTTCAGCAGCGCTGTGGGTGTCTCGGGGCCTCCGAGGGCTGTATGAAGAGCACACACTGGGCAGCTCTTGGGTGTCTGCCTTTCAGGCGTGATTAGAGCAAGAACCGCTTTGTAAACCACATAGGCATTCTCCTGAGCTATTTAATCTCAAGCCCTGGAACCCCTTGGGTGCAGACACACACTTTGTTGGGAATTTTCTTCATTGCTTAGTGAAACATGCCAGCAAAATATAGGACTAAAACGTAAAGTGGAAACATGGTTAGAGGGGCGTCCCTGGGAATGGGACGTCAGCTGAACATACCTTGTTTAATGACCTAGAAATTATATATCCCACTGCAGACTTTTATGATCAATTGTGACTTAAGTCTAAATATTCAAACTGGAATGTCTTAGAGGCAACAGGTGTTTGTGAAATGGCTGGCTGGATTAGAGATGAATTAATTAGGAATGGTAGGAAAGAGAAAATCACCTGGCCTGTACAAGAGGAATGCAGGGTATGTGTTTTCCTCTTCTGTAAACTCAGATATTTGGGCCAGAGTAAGAATCTCTTTAACTCTGCTGTATAGGTGAAGAGGACGGTAATCTTGGAGGAAGGAAAACGCATTCGAAAGTAATTAGGTCCACTTTTAATAAAAGCATTTTGCTTTGCTTAGGCATCGAATTCCTAAAAGGATTTCGGGTAATACTGGAGGAGCTGAAGTCGGAGGGAAGACAGTGCCAACAACTGATTCTAAAGGACCCGAAGCAGCTCAACAGTAGCTTCAAAAGAGCTGTAAGTCGCACGCGGGGAATGTGCTCCTGAAGACACACCATTGTTCTGGGGGCTGAATGGTCTATTGAAAGGCTGTGAAGCTGGAGGAGGAGGGGCTGTGGCGTCCACCCCGCCCCGCCAAGGTGGGCGAGCCTGTGCCACGCTCCGCGCTCCCAGAAACCCTCCAGCACCTCCCGGTGGTAAACAAGCACACCTCTCAGGTTACGCGCTGGAGCAGCCATCCTGGAAGGTGGCTCTGTGCCCTCAGGAGTGGATGTGGGCTCCTCCCCACCAGCTTTGAGCCTCGGCTTCATTGCCAAAGAGCAGTCAGCATTGCCCATCTTAATTTTCAGTTAGGGGTCCAAACCTAAACTTGGTCCGGAAAAGAGACCTGACTTCCTCCTTCCTTTGGGACATGTCCCCCAGCTCTGGAGCTGTGTCTGGGTGACCGCAGGTGGAGAGGTGATCTGAGCTCTCGCATGTTGGAGGAGGGTGATTTCTCAGTGATGTCATGTGTGTTTTTCTTTCCTTTTAGGGAATGGAATCTCAACCTTTCCTGAATATGAAATTCGAAACGGATTACTTTGTAAAGATTGTCCCTTTTCCTTCCATTAAAAATGAAAGCAATTATCACCCTTTCTTCTTCAGAACCCGCAGTGAGTATGGTCTTTCCTGCCTGTTTCCCATGGGGAGACGTTTCTCCTGCTTTTAGTGACTTTTCAGCAGAGGTGTGTTCAACAGCACATGGAATGCTAGTATGACACGAGCATAGCGAAGAGAAAAGCATCCAGAAAAGCAGTTTTTAGAATTAAGAGTCGGCCCAGGTGGTGTTCATCTAACCAGAAACACTCATTCCTGGCTTGTTCTAGCGTCGACATGACGGTTGTTTTTTTTTTTTTTTTTTTTTTTAAGGTACCGTGAGATGGTCGTGTATTAAAATCATTTGATTAAAAAAATGAGAATAAAAAGTAAAAGCTGGTTTTGAGGTGAAGTGAAAAGTGTGAAATGATTCCATCATGCACCTGTCCTTCGGAGGGTGGCCTCTGAGCCATTGCCTGTCATTTTCAGGATGAGATTTAAAAAAAATTAAGTAGCATACCTGAAGTCACCTTGTTCTAGAAAGCTTGTTTATCAGTTATGTGCCAGGCTTTGTTCTAAATACTTCCTAAATATTAACGCAGTTTACCTCCATAACAACCCGAGAAATTTACTCTTACCACCCCCACCTATCAGATGTGGATCACAGAGAGAGGTTAAAGGGCCTGCTGGGAGCTGGGATTTGAACCCCAAGGAGCCAGACTCTCGAGCCCATATGCTCAAACCAACCTGGCAGGGCTCCCTTCTGTATCTGGCTCTCCTTCTCCATGTGTTCTGCACGCCGCGTGGGGCTCTCTCTTCAGCCTGAATTGCTGCTTTCACGTTTGGTGCTCAGGCACCCTGGAACACGCAGTGGTTCCCCCTTGCCTTCTTGGTCCATCTTTCTGTTGGCATGGATGGTTGGCCATCAGTCCAGTCTGACATCTCCTCCTCTGTGGTCTGGTTGCTGTCCCCATCCCTCTTGTGAGGTCTTTGGTCTCAAGTCCAGCCTACGTCCATGCTTCTCGTTGCAGAATTCTTACTCCGGTTGTTTTCTTTTTGTCTTTCTTCTTTTCTTTTTCATTTAAGCTGTAGTTGTTTTTAATGCAGCAAAGTTATTTTATAACATCAGTTTCATTTTCTTAATTGAGGTAAGATTCCATAAGGCAAAGACCATGTGTGTTTTATGGCAATCTCTTGTTGCCTTACACATAGCAACCAGATAGAGGACTCAAAGAATGTGTTTATGGAAAGCCTGCCTAAATCAAAACCAGGCTACTTTAAGATTAATTTTCCTCATCGGAATCATTGTCAATCTGGGAGTGAGGTGGGGGCAGGAGATACGTTTATCACCATTTCAGTGCACTGGGACCTTAAGGCTGCCTTTTGATTTTATTGACAATGTAAGGACATTTTGCAGAGGGTTCTCCCTGGGTTAGCCACCTGGCATGCAGGGCTAGCTGTTTGGCCTCTCTCATTGTGTTTTTACCGCATTTAAATTCTGGTTCAAAGCTACTGACTTTGCTGCCTGGTTTTCAGCTTTGGAGCTACTTCTTGGTAGATGCCTGGATGTCATTTTTAGATTCCATCAAAAGATTTTTAAGTAAGAGTGCTAGCGAAGGTTAAAATAACCTCAAGACCAGTTACCAGGATCACTCTGAAGTTCTCTTGTCCCTCAGCACTCCGCAAGGGGGCCGGGGCTGGCACTTTCTCTGTCTGCGGCTAAAACAGAGCCTCCGTGGGCAGCAGCATGAACACAGGCTCGCTGTCCTGGGCCACGGCCTTGAATCTGTGTAATGCTTGACAAACTTTTAAAATCACAGTGACTTTACATTGTTTCCATTTACTTGGCATGAAATGAATTGCATTAATATTTTTATATTACAGTATTTTTATATATACAATTCACGTTTTTGAAAGCTACAACTGTGCTGTACTGCAAATCATTTTACTTCCTTCCCAGCAGTACCCAGTATCATATATTTATATAGCACTGAATTGTTGGACGAGGAAATGTCGGACTGTCCTAAAACTAAAAATATGTGTTTCTTTCTCAATAGCCTGTGACCTGCTGTTGCAGCCGGACAACCTGGCCTGTAAACCCTGTAAGTATAGCTGTTCTTGTCTGTCCAATCCCAAGTGGTGTCAGGATAACCTCGGAGTGCTCACTCCAGTCCTTCCTCCTCCCAGTCTGGAAGCCTCGAAACCTCAACATCACCCAGCACGGTTCGGACATGCAGGTGTCCTTCGACCACGCGCCCCACAGCTTCGGCTTCCGTTTCTTCTATCTTCATTATAAGCTCAAGCATGAAGGACCCTTTAAGCGAAAAATCTGTAAACAGGTGAGCTATTAGGTGTACATAAGAGAACACTCTGTGTTTTAAAGTAACCCCTGGGCCCTTAGAAGTTGGGTTGGTTCAACGTGAAATTAGGCTTTGTGGACTCTGAGCGGTCGGTAGATATTCTAGTACATCTCAGGGCCGTTTTGAGTCATCCCTCACTCCCTGGTTACCTTTACCCCAGCTGTCCCAGTGGTGGTGTAGGGGTACAAGTATTACCAAGGAACCGAAACGAGGAAGTAGGTCTAGTTTGTTCTTCTATATTTTGAGTTTGAATTAGGTGCTCACTATGTGCTGGTTACTGTGCTTTACAGTCATTGAATCCTTACAGCTCTATGAAACAGAGGCTTGTTATCCTTACTCTAAAGATGGGGAACCTGAGACTCAGGGAGGTCACCTGGCTTGCTGCCTGAGGTCTCACAGCTAGTAAGTAAAAAAAAAAAAACCCAACCATATCTAGGAGTCAAGCCACTAGCATTTCAGTGACTAGTGATTTTGCACAGAGGCCAAGTAACCAAGGAGAGATTGAGTAACCAAGTTTTTAAACTAGAGGTGGTCAGAGGGAGTGGGAAATGTTCTGTGGAAGTTCCCAGGATTGCTAGATGACCCTGTGCCAGCACCAAGAGCAGTTTTTGGTTATAGTGGCAGAAGCCAGTGCCCTTCTAGACACACCCCTGTGTGTGTTGACTTTTGTTTTCCTGCTCACTCTCCCCTCTGCCACTGACCTTCTGCTCAAGTTAAAATTGTGGCAAATAAAATATGCACAAGTATGGAAGGGTAATTTCTTTCCCCATCTTTTTATAAAGCAAAAGATATTCTAACTAGCTGCTTTGTTTCCAAATCAGAAATTCCTGCTGAGGGTGCCACCGCCTGAACATAGAATACGACAGAGGTCCCAGGCTCTCCTGGGCCTTTTTTTATCAAAGTGGAGTTCAGATGACATGGCAGATGCGCACAGTTGCTGTACATCTAATTGACATCTTCTGAAAACATGATTGAAACTGGTGGCAAATTTCCTTCAGTTGTGTGGCAAAACAGGGGTCCTGACCACGTTTATCTAAGAAGACGGTTTTAAAGTGTTGTTTCTTTGCAGGAGCAAAATACAGAGACAACAAGCTGCCTCCTTCAAAATGTATCTCCGGGGGATTATATAATTGAGGTACTTACCACTCAAGAAAGCCCTATTATTAATTCTATAGCTTGAATCCAGTTCAAACAGAACTCCAACTGCTTACAACACTAAAATTTCAAGCCATTGAAGGTGTGCTCAGTTATATTGTTACATGGCCCTTAACATGCTTCTTAAAAAGTTTATATGTAATTGATCTTTGAGTTTTTTTCAGTAAATATTCCAATAAATATTTTTATGTAACCATATAGTCCACATAACCATGGTTTAAAATTTCTATATAGTATTCCTTCACACTACAAAAATACATATTAAAATTTTTAGCTTTAAAAAGTTTTTAGTGATAAAACAGCAAAGCAATAGTTACGCTCATTACATCTCTATACTTCTCTAGATTTCTTCTCTAAGTTTCTGAAATTCTTCTGTATGACTATACATAAGTTATAAATGCCATTTTAAAAAAGCATATACATGGTATATATTTTTCTTTTCTTATATTGCTTTTTCAGTATCAAAAATACTACAAAAATAGAAATAAAAGGAGAATAGGGAAATTAAAAATTTGTCCATAGCCCCACTATTCAAAGACAACCAATATGTCTCAACATTTTGGTAGAATTACCTTGTTCTTGCATTACTCAGTAGCAGTAGATGGTTTTGAACCAACACATCCTCTTAAAGCATTAAAGGAGGCCCAGTAAAATCAGTGGTAGGGTACCATTTTATTGAAAATTGTAAGAATGTGGAACTCACTAGCTGACTTCATCAGTGAATAAACAACTTTTTGATTCATGAAAGGTATGCGATGAAGTTGAGACTTTTCAGTTGGTAAAGCAGAGATGATGTATCTGACTATCAGTGTCTGATTTCAGCTTGAAAATGATCACAGCAGCTCTCCTCTCCCCGCCGCACTGCCCACCGATGGAAAAATGAATGAAATCTGTTGAGATGCTATCACTTGAAAAAACATAATACAGCATCCTTTGTTTTGCAGCTGGTGGATGACACTAATACAACAAGAAAAGTGATGCATTATGCCTTAAAACCAGGTAAGAATTTTGTTTGTTTAGAATGTTGCCTCTGGACTACAGTGGACCAAGGTATTTGATACTTCCTGTACTTCATGGTTTACAAAAAGAAAACACTTGCCCTCTTCCCTTTTAAGTGATGTCCCATCAAATCTGACTTTCCTTCCACCTTAATGTTGATGCCTGGAAGATCAAAGCCAGTGTGTTGTGTGAGTCTCTGGGACTAAATAAATAGTCAATTGTCCTTAGAAGAAAAGTGGTGGGAGGGGAGGTTTCCTTAGGCAAATTCCACTCAGAGGTATTTACTGTCCCCCCAGACTCTTTACTGTTGAATTGTATTCTGCAACCTTTTAAAAATGAATCCTTTTATAATCACCAAATCAGTACTAGAGAAAGGTAGTCAAGGAGTCTTGGAACCTGTTATGTGGCTTCTGTTTAAAAAGAAGAAAAAAAATGTTTTTCTTTGAACCTGTTATACTGCTTAAGTTTAAAAGCCTTCCCTTTTTCCCTTTGAAATTCCCCAGCACACTCCCCGTGGGCCGGGCCCATCAGAGCTGTTGCCATCACTGTGCCCCTGGTCGTCATATCAGCATTTGCAACGCTCTTCACTGTCATGTGCCGCAAGAAGCAACAAGGTATCTCGTTGTGTGCCGTGTTCCCCCCAAGGTGGCAGTACTGGGGCCAACAGAGGGAGACTGGGAGCTCTTGTTCCCTCCAGGCGTCTGAGAAGCCACATGGCTCTTGTAGTCAGTTCCCTGGCTGCTGTATGTAGTTCCCAGAATTAAAATACATGACTTTTAACCTCAGGAGCCACTAAAAGGACAGGCATGCTTCTATTCTCAAACTCAGAAAGATAAATGCAAGAGCATAAAGGAAGTCTAAAGGTATGAGTAAGGGGAGAGGGAGGGCTTCAGCACTTAAATTCAGACATGAGGAGGGAAACTTCTGGGGAACTTGAAAATATATTGCATCTTAATCTGGCAGTTACACAGTATACTTAAAAATTTATTGAGGTGTGCTCCTAAGATTTATGCACTTTGCTTTTATAAGTTGTACCAAAAAAAAAAAAACTAACAAACAAAAAAACCTCAGTGAAAGTTTGTTTGTTTTAAAGAAGTTCAGCTCGTTAATGCTTAATTGGTCTAGTAGGTGTACTTGGTTGCAAGAGCTGGTTGTGGGCTCTCTGCTGATGGGGGCGGGGAGAGGAGTCCCTGCAGTGTTCTTGGCTTGCCCAAGGTCAGTTTCAGGTGAAGAACAAATTTTGGCTATTTTTTGCTCCATTGGACAAATCAGCTGTTCCAGTCCCAGAAGTGACCCAAGGGGCTGGTGGAGTTAGGGAGCTGGGAGTGCTCTAGGTGGACGTGGAGAGAGCATTGGGTCCCAAGTCTTAGGGAACAGGACAAAGCTTTGCTAGTGGGCACCAACCTTATCTCTTTTCCAATTTAGAAAATATATATTCACATTTAGATGAAGAGAGTTCTGAGTCCTCCACGTACACCACAGCGCTCCCCAGGGAGAGGCTCCGGCCACGGCCCAAGGTCTTTCTTTGCTATTCCAGTAAAGATGGCCAGAATCACATGAACGTTGTCCAGTGTTTTGCCTACTTCCTCCAGGACTTCTGTGGCTGTGAGGTGAGGAATCTAAAGTCTCTCCTTTTATCCTGGGCAGGACACGTGCCAAGTGCCTGGCTTCCAAACCAGTGTCAGTCTTGCACTCTTCCTGCAGTCTGTCCTACATCACCAGCACTGGATGTCTGCTGACACTTAGTTCTAACCCCCACACACTCCTGTTCATAAGCCTGGAGTGGCACTCACCTGGCAGGAAGTTTTATAAGCATTAAAAAAACTGTTGAGGGGATGGGGAATGGCAGCTGCCCTGAGAGCTTGCAATGGGGGTGGTGGGAGGTGGTCACCTAAGGCATTCTGGTGAGCATTGGAGGGTCAAAGAGAGAATGGCAAGTAAAGCAATGAGTTTAGACAATTTTGTGGGGGAGCTCTGCCAATAAGGGAAAACAATAATGTGTTACGTGCTCAAGTGGTCTGCTCTGGTTTCTTGCCTTGTTCTCTTCCATTAAGCTATTAAAGTGTAGCTTTTCTATGTCATAGTGTTGATTTTAGAGTGAAGTTTGAAGCTGTCATGGAAGGCACACTGTTTCTTACAAATGCAAGAGTTGTACAATAATCATGCAATTGGAAGTTGTGCTTTCAAACTATGGGTTGGTGGGTTTCAGATTCTCTCCACATGGTGAGGCTGCCCCCTAGAGTCAACAAAACATATTTACAAGGCTGGCTGGGATTCCCAGTGTGTGAACGTCTAGAGGTTGACAGATCAGCCTGCAGACTGAAAAACTAGTGTAGACCAGTGGGTGGCACACACTGTATTCAGATATAGAAAGCACTTTTGCTTTATTTTGTAAGTGACTAGCCTCAGGGGCGAAATACCTTCCAATTTGACTGTAATAGAGAATTTGGAAACTAGAAAAGGATGACAAATTTTTAAATGGATGGTAATCTTAACCTGGAGAAAAGAGGAACCACAGTTAATATTGCTGTATTATTTCCACACTTTTCTGCATAGATGAAGTAATACTTATAGTTTTGCATTTGAGTGGACTGGAATTACTTTTTTTTGTCTCTCACTCAATAACATTTTACAATATTTTATGTAAACAGCCATTTTAAATAGACACCAGATCCATATTAGTGATTCACCATAATTAAGTTCTTTCAAACTGTTAAACATCTCAGGAGTTCAATTTTGCCTCATTTCTGTTAATTTTTCAAAGACAGATACTTGGAAATGGAATTGCTGGGTCAGGTAGGAACATTTTTTAAGTGCTTGGTGTATATTCCCAGTTAGCTTTTAAAATGTATAATATTAGGGAAAATTAAGGAAAATGTAAGACAATTCAGGATTATCTTCAGCAAGTGGGTGGATGTTGGGGGCTTTCTTCCCTTTGATAACACCTTAGAGCAAAAGAGGAAGATAGTCATTTCAGAACCCCCTTCCCCGGAAGAGAGTGTGGCTGTCACCTTCTAGCATAGGTATTGGGAGTTAATTTCTGAACTACAGAAGGAAAGAGGCTGATAGAACTGCCAAGAGAAGTTTTCAGCAGAATCAGATGAAGATGGTCTAGAAAGGGGAAGCCCTCGGAGGGGGCCATGCATGCCTTGTTTTCTTTCCTTTGTCAGTGCCCCACCCCCAACTCCCTATGAGACATCCCCTACAGGTTAAAGGTCTTATAGGGATGTGACCCTGTAGACTGCTGAGAAGTCATGGTGAGAGGTGCTGGTCATGTCCAAGTGAGTGAACCAGAATGGCCATGTTATTGCAGCTCATCACTCCTCTCCAGGCACTGATCTCCTGGTAAATAGCATGGCTGACCCCAGGGCTGTGAGAGTGGCTGGGGAGGTCCTCTTTGTCAGTCACACTCTCTGAGTTGAGTCAGCCAGCTTGTGGATTGGGTGGCTTTGGCATCCAGACCTGAACCCCATTTCCCATTTTGGGATTCCTCACCCAAGCCCTTCTGTCATCACCTTTCAGTTCTCTTTCCAGGATCTGCTCCTCCCTGCTATCAGACATACCAACCCCCAGTGCCTCTGTTTTCCATGCTCACTATCACACTCTAAGTCTGCTGAAAGCCTCACATGTGATATGTAACTTAGGCAGGTTGCCAGACACTCTGTGTTTCTGTTTCTTCACTTGTAGTATGGGAGTGGTAATGACCCCACCTCATGCTAAAATGAGGGCATGATGCAGAGGGCTGGTGTGTGACCATCACCCGTGAGATGTTAGCTGTTCCTCGGAGCTGGGCAACCTGGAGCCTGCACGTAGCTGTGCTAATAATGATTTGAGGACAGATGATGTACCGTTCTTATAACATTCCCATTCTTGTCATTCGACTCTCAAAGCTGTATAGGTGAGTGAGGTTCCGTGTCCTCTTTCCAGGTGGCTCTGGACCTATGGGAAGACTTCAGCCTCTGCAGAGAAGGGCAGAGAGAATGGGTCATCCAGAAGATCCACGAGTCCCAGTTCATCATCGTGGTGTGTTCCAAAGGCATGAAATACTTCGTAGACAAGAAGAACTACAAGCACAAAGGAGGTGGCCGAGACTCGGGGAAAGGGGAGCTCTTCCTGGTGGCAGTGTCTGTCATCGCCGAGAAGCTCCGCCAGGCCAACCAGAGCTCATCCGCGGCACTCAGCAAGTTCATCACCGTCTATTTCGATTATTCCTGCGAGGGAGACGTTCCTGGCGTCCTGGACCTGAGCACCAAGTACAAACTCATGGACAACCTTCCCCAGCTCTGCTCCCACCTGCACTCCCAGGACCGCAGCCCCCAGGAGGCGGGGCCGCACCCGGGCCGCGTCAGCAGGAGGAACTACTTCCGGAGCAAATCGGGCCGCTCGCTGTACGTCGCCATTTGCAATATGCACCAGTTTATCGACGAGGAGCCTGATTGGTTTGAGAAGCAGTTCGTTCCCTTCCATCCTCCTCCGCTCCGCTACCGGGAGCCCGTCCTGGAGAAGTTTGACTCAGGCCTGGTTTTAAACGACGTCCTGTGCAAGCCCGGGCCCGAGAGCGACTTGTGCCTCAAGGCCGAGGCCGCCGTCGCCGGGGCGCCAGCCGACCCGCGCTCGGAGGGCCCGCAGTTGGGCTCTGACGAAGACGCCGAGGCCGGGCCCGTAGCGGGCGCCACCTCTGTCCTGCGGCCCCTGCTGCACACAGTGAAAGCCGCCGGCCCCTCAGACATGCCGAGGGACTCTGGCATCTACGACTCGTCCGTGCCCTCGTCAGAGCTGTCCCTACCTCTCATGGAAGGGCTGTCCACGGACCAAACGGAGACGTCTTCGCTGACGGAGAGCGTATCGTCCTCCTCAGGCCTGGGTAAGGCGCGGGGAGCCCGGAGGGCCGGTGGGTCGGGTTCTTGATGCAGGCCAAGGCTTTGGTCCCCATGATTCCGAAATCCGGGAAAGCTTTTTGCAAATTTTCGTGAAGATTTACGTGTCAGTGAAATCTGACGGGAAGTAGCGATGCCATTATTGATAGTCTTGATTGATCCCAGGTAATGGGAATGTTCACATGTGTGTGCTGCAGAAATACTGATGATAAATTATGGAGAGCTGCCCAGTCCCATGTTATATAATAGTGCATGCTTTTTTTTTTTTTTTTAATTTGTTTAGGGGGGAGGTAATTAGGTTTATTTATTTATTTTTTAAATGGTGACACTGGGGATTGAAACCAGGACTTCATGCATGCTAAGCGTGCACTCTGCCACTGAGCTATACCCTCCTCCCAGTCCGTGCATTTTATCACCTTTCTAAACTCCAGAAACATCTGAATAGCAAAACACATTGGGTCCCAAGTGTGTTGTATGAAGGTCTGTGTACCTGTATAGTATTTTTGTTGGGACTTGTAGTGTTCACCCCTCACTTTCCCAGTGTCTTTAAAGCTATATGTAATTGAACCTGGGGTTCATAGGTGCAGTATTCTCTTCATCCTAGGTCAGCACAGGCTCCCAAGTGGGAGAGCTTTATAGGGGGCCCCATTTCCCTAGGGACCCCCCGCAGGATGCCCTCTGGAGCTGCTATTACTGTGCCTGTGAGTAGTTGGAGTCATGCATGCCACCCCTGGACCCTCAACTAAGGGAACTGGAACCTGTTAGCAGGATGAGCATGCCCAGTCTTGTGCTGGTTAGGATGTCTGCCTTACTTGTATAAAGCACATAATTCAAACCCAGGTTCAGCTATGTTCTGAGCGCCCAGCCCAATGAAGTACAATAATGTATGACTCTGCCCTCTTTTCTTTTCATAGGTGAGGAGGACCCTCCTGCCCTTCCTTCCAAGCTCCTTGCCTCTGGGGCATGCAAAGCAGAACCTGGTTGCTGCAGCTACACTGGTGAACTCCACGCAGTTGCCCCTTTGTAACAAAATGGAAGAGTCTAAGCATTGCCACTTTAGCTGCCGCCTCTCGCTGGTTCCCCAGCTCATCTCTCTGGGTATGTGGCCCACTTGGAGCTGAGATCTCTAAGAATATTCAGAGTGAAATCTGGCCAGTACTTGCTCTCCTTTCCTCTACTCTATCAGATATATTGGCAGAGTGTCCAGTTTTCTGAAACCATATGGAGCTCTGAAAGGCATGTCCATAATGTCTGACAGCAACTTGCCATGTTAGATCAGACTTTGGATTAGAGCCAATTCTGGGAGGTGGGGAGGAAACATGTAAAGAGAAACAGGAAAATACCCGCACTGATCATTCAGACTTAATTTATCTGCACAAACTTTGCCTATTCACTGTTGGCTACTTTGATTTGAAATGCTTTGTGGAAAAAGCACTTTTGATGCCACTACAGCCTCAGAAATCAAGTGCCAGTCTCTTTGGAATCCATATTGTTACAGGTGATGTTCCTTTCCATTTTTGGTGTGGAATTTATGATACCATGTATGATGCCATGGGTGTTAAAAAAAAAGCTGAGTTAAAGGTCAAGAAGGTGACTGAATATACAATCACCTTTCATAAAATGAGTCTTTATATATTAATGGGTGGCATGGCTGGCTGAGCTAGGGGCTGCAGGACCAGGCTGACCATCTAGCCCATTTTTTCTTAGATGGGTTGGTCAGTGTGCTGGAACTCAGCACCCAGGGCCACCTCTTGGTCTGAAGAGGCATCATGCAGGGGCCAGATCTGCCTGCCACGTTTCCCTGGGTTCCATTTACTGTGCTGTATCTCAGATGTTGGTGCCTAGAAGTTTATTTTTAAGAGGCTAATACCCAGCTGGGCTGTATTACTGGAAGTTGTGATTTGTGCTTTGGTTGGCCTCTCGTCTAAAGCTGTGTCCATAATATTAGGGATCAGAATCCACTGAAATACAGCAGTATGTGGAGGTGGTAGCCATTTAATCTGCTGACTGGTTTTGACTAATGACAAACCTCTTTTTAAGAAGGTGAAAAGGAGGGGATTGTTAAAAAGATGAATGTGCTCTTTGAGTATCGTCTAAAGAAGCATGGGACCTGAAATCATTAAATTCTTGAATCTTAAAGTACTCCCCCGACAACCCAGTCTGTGAATCAGGTTTCACTTTGTTTTTGTTGTACTTACCCAATTAAAGATTTGTCTCTTGTGTTCATTTCTATCAAAAATAGGTATTTAGAGCTTAAAAGGAAAGAATTTGCTTTAAAAAGGAAAAGTAAATGTTCTGTTTTTTTGAATGACTCTTCTTCAGAATTTCTGTTTCCAGTGGAAAAAAAATTGTTCTCTTCTCCTCCCCATGACCTTGAGGGGGGAGTGAGTGTTTTTATTTTTCCTAACTTTCAAGTGAATACAATTGGATTTTGGCATCCTATTTTCTCAGCACCCGTACCAGAGACCATGGTTTTCATTCCTTCAGCAAGTAGGACCAAAATTAAGGGGGAACACTGAGAAACATCCTAGGGTGGGAAATGGGGTGGGGCAGGACTTTTCCTTCCAAGTTCATTCTCGGTAAGTGGGGAAGGGAAGGTTTGCATCCCTACTGGAAAGGAGGTTTGTGTGTACCTTTGATGCATGCCACACTCCCTGCTCTGTAAAGGCAGCTGGCAGCTTCTTGGGAGAAGAATGTGCTAGTCTGTTCTCTGGCATCGAGTTTCCTACAGCTGCTCTGAGGGAGAGACAAGTGGGCTGCAGAACTGTCTCCCCCACAAAGCCAGGCATCTTGTTGGAGAAGCGATGTTTCATGTTGTCACTGTGGAATCTGAGATGAGTGCAGAGCTCCTGCGCATATGTGACTGTCCTCCCATTCCATCGTCGGTGTGCGTTCTGGGAAGGAGATTGGTCAGTTTTATTAATGTCTGAAAATTAACTTTGAAATATTTTCAAAGTGATTACTTACTGAAGCCAAGAAATGGAGCATGCCCTGAAGGAACCATTAGGAGCTGCTTTCAGATAGATACTCAGCTTTGCATGTGAAAGGAGGCATCTCTGAGAAAGTGGCCCCAGGGACAGCATGGAGGACTGGGGAGGAAGCGTCACCTGGGCTCCGTGAGTGGAGGATGGAGAGCTTGCTAAATAAATTCACTTATGAAAATGGTTGGGAAAAATTGTGCTAGTCCAAAAATCAGGTGATGCTTTGGGTATTTATTTTGAAATACTAATGATGATGATGGTCAATGAAATCAAACTGTTGTACCAAGTAATGAAACGACATTGTGAATGCCCAGCTCTGAAAAAGCTGAGAAGACCAACGACTTCCTGGTTCTGCCTTAGTTACACTTTTTTTTTTTTTTTTTACATTCTGCCCTCACCCACCTCCCCCTCAATCTCATGCTGGGAATGGGGATAGTTGCCTCACAGATTAAAGCAAAACATCTGTTTTAAGCAGAGCTGCGTTTTTTGACTCTAACATTGTCCTGGACAGTGGAAATGATAAGACAGAATTCAGATAAAGGTTCTGCCAAATCACAGCCTTTTAGACATTGGGGAAGCAAGAATTAGAATATAGGGATGATGTGAATGAAAGGCTTTCATCCTGAGGGTTCAAGGCTCTGTGTGGCCAAGTTAGATGATGTGTAAGTTCAGGGTTCCAGGTAACCGAGAAGCCTGCAGGTAGTTGAAAGGTAGGGAGTTAGTTGTCTATCTTAACTTACCAGTGCCCTACAGAAAGGACTTAGTATCTGACACAGTCAGCTTTGCCAGGAGAGTGACCAGAGAGGTGAAAGTCCAGGTAAAGACGTGTTCTTCTCCAGGTCAGCTACAAGCAACAGGGGCCACCTGGATGGGCCCTGCACTGGAGGCAGGAGTCCTTTAGAGGGCTGAGTCCTGGGCCTTTGAGGTACAGTGATCTCCAGAAAGAATCAGAAGTCATTCAGGTTCAGGCTCAGGTACTTAGGTGGGTGACCCAGCCAAGTAGTAGTATTTTAAGCCGAAAATGGGGCATAAAGTCAAGAGACAGAGTTTTTGGTTGATAAATTAATAATCACCAAAGACAGTCCCAGATCAGAAGTTTAAAAAAAAAATGTTCTAAGCAATGGTAACATCATTGGAATCAGTGTGTAGTGATTTAAGTTCATATATGTTTGTCAAAATTTATTTATAGTCTTGCTACTTTATAGCCGTAAGTGTCATTAAAAATAAAAAAGCAAAAACCCTCTAGTCTCAGGTTCCCTGATTTAAGCACAAATAAACAGGAAAACTGTCCCCCCAGAAATGTAGGATTATGTGATTTTCAGAACTTTTCCATTTTTCAGAGTTGAGTATCTTTTCTTTTAAAAGAAGCAAAGGAAGAAAACAGCTATGTTATTCCTGGAGGAAAAAAAGAGTTTCCTTCCAAAAGAGAGAAAGCCCTGCAGTCCCTAACCACCTCAACACTAATTTGGCTCTCTTAAGGAGAGAGGAATTACTCGTTGTGTCTTTACTGGGGAGAGGTGGACAATGCCAATGAGAAATTTATTAATGTTTCCTATTTTATATAATTTGTGAAAAGTGCTGCTCTTGTTTAACAAATGCTGTGCCTTTAGGGGCCTCCAAAGGGGGTCAAGTGTAATGATAAATAAGGTTTGATGATAAATGTCAGTGACATGCCTTCTTAGTGTTAGCGAGACAGTAAGGCATGTTGGGGACTACAGCAAGCTGAAACCCTCCTGTCCCACTTATAGAGGGCAGCCACTCCAGCCAGTTGTGACCATGGAGTGTTGCCTTATTTTTCCATTTTTAAAGAGAAGCTGAGAATCTGGATTTTTATATGAAAATTCTGATTTTTTTTTTTTTTTTTTTTTTTAGTATTGGCAAGTAAATGATAAAAAATTTTTACAGTGAATTCAGGCCCAACGGAACAACACATAGGTAGACCGGATTTGGTCCACAAGCTGCCACCTCTGCTTTATAAGATTTAAAAAGAAAGGCATCTTCCATGGTAATTATAGATGTCTGGTGCCACCAGAAAATGCTCTTGCTAAATGTACCAAGGAGCTAGATTGTTTCTTTTACCCATTGCTCCCCTAAAGAAATTTGATATGACTGAATGTATTTGAAATGTTTTGATTGCTTCTTCACACTTAATGATGTCTTAAGAAAAAGGCAAACCAGTTGTTAATTTCAAAACCAGATTTATGTTCTCCCAATTTAAAAAATACGACACTTAAATTTCATTTAAACTCCATAAACCAAAGGACCTTATTTATAGTTTTAGCTCTTGCCTTAATCACTTTTTTAGATGATGTGTAATTCTGAGCTTAGGCCAGGACTTAATAAGGAAAGCAGGCATTGTGGGGAGCAGAGCAAGGAATCCTGAGGGTCTGCTAGAGCCAGGCATTTGCTTTGTCTTCTGCTTTAAATGATGTGTGAATGGACTCTGTTTTGGAGGTGTGAAACTGTATACGGAGAAAAACTTTTCCTGATACTGAGATATCAGTCAAGGGTCCTCACAGGTGTTGGGTCATCCTTGCTATATCACATCCTTTTCAGGCTTAGGGTGAGAGAATAAACAAAAGAAAGTCTGACTGTAAGCCAATAGCTTTGATTCTGATTTCAGAGTTTTGGGGATGGGAGAAAGTTTGGATTATCTGGCATAATACCCCTCCTCCCTTGCTGCTGTGAGACAGGGCTGTGCATGAATTATTTCAGACATGTGGCTGTGGATGGGATTCTGGATTTTTAGCAAAGGAGATTCTGTAACCTACCCTGCTGATCAGATATTTCTTTGTACATCTTCTTTATAGAAATTCAAACCAGCCTTCTTTTGTTCAGCATGTAGTGGAAAAAGAACAGCTGCTCACCTTCCGTGTATTTGAAAACCACAGTGAAGTCATCCCCCTAGTGTTTTTATTTCAGTGATAAATAATCCCACCCCTACTCATTCTACACAGCTCTTGTTTTCCAAGGGCTTAATAATTTTCACTGCTCTTCAGTTTCTCAGTTTCACACTCAGTTTAGTTGCTTAAATAGAATATGGTGCCTTATTCACATTGGTGCCTTGTGAAGGCCAAGCTCAGGATGGGGATTAACAGAGAAATTCTGAGGTACCTGGCTTCTCTTACTACTTAAAAATATAAAGGCCCTTTTAAAAAATGGTAAATCGCCTGTATTCATTTTGAGGGTTGATTGCCACATATTTTTTCCCCCTTGGCAACAGTCCTCTATCATATGTGGAGTTTTGTTTTCCTCTTATGGTCAGACACTTTGTGCTTATTCCTGATATGTTAAATGTCATTCCTGAGCTGCTTCAGGATACTCTTCAAGACCAGCTCTTACCTTCTGAGTGGCAACTACCCCTCCCTCCCAGTTTTGGATTATATTTTTGTATATCTCTAGACACCACCTTTAATTCATGACTCACAGTACTATTAAAATTACAGACTTCACTTTAACCACAGGTGAGATAGATAGCAGTTGGTAGGAGCTAATTTGCTAAGAGGTCGAGTGAGGACCTTGGGAATTTTGGTCATTTGTCTTCCCTCCTGCTCTTTGGTTCCTCTCCCAAATTCAGCTGGGACCACAGACTCCTCAAGAAACTTTTCCATGTTCTGAATGGTTGCAGCCAGGGCTCTGAATTGACCAAACATGGTAGTTTACATAATCAGAAGTCTGAGAAAAGCAAACTGCTACGATTGCATATCTGGTGTTTTTATCAAAGAAAGAAAATTTCAGTTGAGAAGATTCAAAGATGCAATCTTCTGTTTGTATGTGATGTAGACTAAGTTGGCTGCTCCATTCATTAGACAAAAAGTTTACCATTGGATTACACTAATGTGTAATCATCTTGTTATTTTTAACAAACGTTTTTTTCCTGACTCAAGGAAAAAAAAATGTAGTGAGTCCAGAGAGAGCAAAAACTTTTGTAAAAACCAAATATATTCATTTAGAGAGTAGATGACTTCTATTTTCACTGTTAGTTTTTTTCCCTCCACTGCAGAAGCTCCCTGTTACTACATTCTAGGGGGAAAGCCTGTGGAACACAGTGGTTATTGCCATTGTCTTTGTTTCATCTTTGTAAAGTTTGTCCTTTGTGAGGTTTGGTGGAATAGTGAGCACTGACCGACAGACTGTAGTAGTGTGCTATATTTTTACATTGAACATTTAATGTCTTATTTGATTTGTATATAACTCTGTAAATAGATGACAATAGACCACAGCTGACATTTGCAAAATGTTTTTTGTACCCTAGAATTTTTGCATCAAATAAAATGTTTTAAGATTGTGGTGGCTCATTATTCTAGATCATGTTTCCTGTTTCCTGAATAGCTGGGGTTCTTAGCACAGTTTTCTGTGGCCTCTACCTCTGGAAAGGAGAGAGATGATCTAGGGTGAGGAGACCGGGGTGGCCAGTATGTCTTGTACTTTAGAGAAGAGGACCCTGCTACCCTTGACCGTTTACCTCGCCCTCCAACGGGCAGACGCCTGTTGCCTGCATGGCGCGAGGAGCAAGGACAGAGATACGTACCTCAAGGAGAAATTGGACTGTCAGAACAAATGGACTTTCTTTGCAGAAATTTGAAAAGAGCCACTGAAATTTGGGAGCCACAAACAAACCTCCTATCATTCAGAAAGAAAAAGAATTGCCTATTCATTCTTCCCAGAGACTTCCTCTCACCTGTGCGCCCCATGTTCTCTGAGTTAAATTCATGATGCCCATCAACTTCAGGGTCTCATTTTTGAGATTCTGAGGCCCAGAAATTGGGTAGCTTTGCCAAAGGCACAGACAAGTCGGCAGCCCTGGGATTCATGTGTCTCATTGAATCATCCTCACTCCTAACCAATGGGCAACACTGCCCCTCAACATAATTTAAAGGGAGAAGAAAGAATCTTGAGTTGTATGTTCTGGTGAGTTGGTTCCTTTCTCAATCCAAATATTAAGAGTAAATCTGATTCAAAGGTTAAGCACATGGATCTAAAAGGACTCTATTGGAAGAATTTCTTTAGGCAGATGCTGTGGTAAGTGAATTCCTTTTTCTTGGTGGTGGAAAAAGCTTCTCTTTGGACAGCATGAGAAGCGCTAATTTTTACCGCGGTACTGGAAAGCAGAGTTGGTTTTTACAGCTGCTTAGGGTTCTTGCAGTTGCCAACATGTGTGGGACCTCGCCACTGGCTTTATTTACTTTGTTTTAGAAATGGAAACTTTTAGGGGTAGCAAAGACCACTTCCCTTTGCAGGCTTTAATTAGAAAACATTTTTTTTTGTTTTGGTTTAGTTGAGTAAGAGACTACAGGCAATAAGCTAAGCAGGTGAATGAAAGAGGAGACGTAAATTATACCTTCATTGTTTTGGAAATAGTGGGTCCTTAATAAATACCCTTTTTCCACCCTTACCCCCAACATACCCTGCCCTCACAGTCCACAGGACCAAAATCAGAACTTGCCCAAGAATAGGTTAGGTAGAGGATGCAGTAAACGGAGGGAGGGATGCAAACATGGGGTAAGGCTTTTTTACAATGAGATAACGTTCAAACAGGATCTTTGAGATTAAGGGAAATTATTGCAAGATCAGTGGGCTTGGCTCTCTGGCCCCTTTTTGGAGGGGTGTTGTACCATTTTTCACATTTATAGGTGATACAACTTTCTTGCTGTATTTATTTGAGAGCCTAAAGTGTGTCCTAGGGACACAGTATTGAATAAGATACACATGATCCCTGCTGTCTTGACTCCACCTCTTTCTGTGTATGGGACTGTGGGCATATCACCTAATTGCTCTGAGCCTCAGTTCTTTCATCTGCAAGATGAAACTAATACTGCATAGGGTTATTGTGAGGCTTAATGAATTGAGGTCTAAAAAGCACCCACGGCCATGCCTGGCAAGTGCTAGACACATGGTAAATAGTGGCTATTATTTATTCTGTGGAAGAGCAGGTTTGGGGTTCCTTGGGGGCCACATGGAAGTGGGTGGGAGACAATTCCCTGGCTTTGTCAGGTGCTAAATTAAATCCTCCCCCCCCTAAGAGAAGAGGGTGGGTCCACATCTGACTTTTGGTGTTGGTCCAGGAAGAAAGGGATGGGGGTTGGGGAGGGGGAGGTGCTCCTAGCAAAATTAAATTAAGACAGGAACCGGGAGTTCTTAATAGTTGAATGTACATAGCCTGTGACAGTTGAACATGTACTCAGATCTGCTAGTGTTTCATTCAGTAGGCTTTTTTCCCAGGTCATCCTTCAGCCCCAGTAGAGACACAGAAAGATGTTTTTCTGGACTTGCTGCTTCAAGGACCCTGTGCCAGGTGTATGACCACACCCCTCTCTGGATGTGAACAAAAGCAGGGATTGTTTCTCTAACTGACTGTCAGTTCACTGTCAGGGAGATTTTTCCAAGTTTTAGAAGCTGGAGAGGGGCAAGAGACAATAATGGTCCTCCAAGATGAGACCGCTCTTCCTGGTCTTTCCTGCTCTTGCTGGTCAGAAACGTTCCAGGGAGTGGGCAGGTGTCAGCTTCCAAACAATCCATAGATGTTTGCCACCAGGATGAGCAAGAGGAGGCCAGAGAGAACTCATAGCAAAGAAAGGCCAGAGCATGCCTGTGACAGAATGCAAATACAAGCGTGTCCTGCCTTTGGTTTGTGTACCTGAAGTTAGGTGTACTTGAAGATCCTGCACACTTGTGTATAATTCTGCTTTATTACTGGTGAGACTTTTTTTTTTAACCATTATGATTAAAGGGGAGCTTTGGTCTCAGGTATCCTAAACTTAGGTCTCAGTCTGCCACTTGCTTTGTGACCCCAAGCAGGTGACTTGACTTGATTACAGCTTAGCTTCCCCATCTGCAAAATGAGTAATAGTACCTAGTTGGGCTGATATGGGGCTTGAATGTGAGGCCGAGTAGAGATCTGGAAACAGCCTGGCACACGGTAATCCTCCCTGCCTGTAGGGATGTGGTCACCTGGGGCAGATTAACGGCTGTATAGTTACAAAGTGTGACCCCCCAACATCTCTCAGCCCCAGTCTCTGATGTAGATAACCTATGTGGAGTTCCTGTCTTCTGGAGAGCTCAGTTCTGCACGGCAGTTGGCAATGACTCTCGGGGGATGGCTACTTCAACACCGTCACTCCCTGCTTGAAACTTCCAGTGGCTCTGGAGGTGAACCCCAAAGTTCTTACCTGGCCCCTTGCCAACCTCTTTTCTCTGTGTGTCCCTTTGTTTATAGCCATACAAGACTTTGAGATTCCTCACTTGTGTGGTCCTGCCGTGAGTCCTTTGCCTCAGGCTGTTTCTTCTTCCTCTCTAGGTCTCCAGCTCTCCTTTGCAGTCAAACCTTACTTGACCACTGTCCACCCTAGTCTAGGGCCTGACATGTGCCTTCAGGAACAGCTCATGTGACTATGTGCCAGACCCTCTTGCTCACTATTATGGCCGCTCCTTGAGAGTTGTCTGTGTCCTCTCTAGTAATTCTACGTCTAGCATCATCTTTTAAGGAAACAAACAGAAGTGTCAAAGTTAATTGAGGAAAGATTTTCCTCACCAAACATTATCCCTGATACTGAGAAATGAGGAACCCAAGTACCAGCTGGGACTGATGATAAGAAGAGGCACATTCACACAAGTGGCTCTTAACTATGTAGAGGAATATTTCATGACAAAGGAAAAGGCTCACAATATGTTAAATGAAAAATAAAGGACACAAATTAACAGTAGTTATTGCTGGGTGGTGTGATTGTGGGTGGCTTTTATCTAATTCTTTATACTTCTCTCAGGGTTGCTATACGAGTGTTATACCATCAGAGAGTTTTTAATGTATGATCGCACACAACAAATGTTAAAGGTACCCACTGGGCATTCAGTGGCCCGGGTTGGTGGTCTCAGTGTCTCTCCCTTGTCCTTGAGTGTGCCTTCTCATGAGATTCCTTTCCTTGATTGTGCTACGTGGCACCTCGTCCCAGCCCTTAGTCATTGCTTTCCTGTCTGGCATCAGTTAGAGCTCATCACTTGTCCTTCCTTTTGGGGACCTCCCGCAGACACTTCAGCTTTCCCAATTGGTGACTTAGTAAAGTGACTGCCCTGGTCCTATTCCATCCTGTCTTGCAGAGTTAGGGGAGATGGTGGTGAATTCAAGAATGGGCCCTCAAGAACTGACTGTTTCAAAGGGGAAAGGTGGCTGATCAATGTCTTCTGGGCTCTCCAGTTTCCAAACGCCATGGATAGTAATCCACATTTCCTATTCCCTCCACACTCCCCACCAAAGGACTCCCTTTGGGTGTATCATCTCTTCTTCCAACAGTCTTCTAACTTGAGTTCAGGAACCAAGTTCTTCCCACCCTCCCCCTAGCAGGGCCAAGTGTGAATGGGTGGGAGGGGATGGGGCACTGCATATAAATCCTTGTGGGATTAAATTAGTTTCTTTCTAGTCTCTGTATTCTTGCAGATCTGTTCTGATTTCTGGAAACACTGAACTATAAAACAGAAGAAGTCAAGGAGTTTGCCCCTAGTAATAATAAAATGCACGATGTCTTTGCTGTGTCCAACAGACTTTCACCACTATATCCATTCCTCACTTAGTAGCCAGTGTGATCCCATTACCTCTGCCTGAACCTTTTCATAGGCAAGGTTGAGTGTCTCACCCTGGCCATCAAGGCCCCTCCAGCCTCGTTCTCCCCCCACCTACCCATTTCCATGGACTTCCAGAAGTGTGCCGTGTGCTCTCCCACCTCTGGGCTTCCACATCTCCAGTTCTGTCCAACCCTCAGTCCTCCCACTTCTCACAGGAAGCCTCCCTATGCTCGAATTCAGGCCAGCACTTCCTCTGTGTGTTTCATCACATCCTGCTCCCTAAACTGCGCAGTGATGGGTCTGACTATTCCCACATCAGCTGTGAGCTCTGTGGGGTCAGGGACTATGTTATCTTGGTGACAGAGTCACTGCTGTTCCCCAGAGCCTGGCATAGTATGTCACATGTAGCAGACACTCAAATCATGAAGTGGAAGCTAATGGAACCTTTATCTCTGACAAGGCTGCCTGGGTAGAACACTTAAGTATCAGTTTGTAAGAGGGAAGGGCCTGCTGAGCTCTGGGTTGATGAGGGAGTGGAAGCCCTTTATTATTACTTAATAAACATGGCTGGTTGTAGTAAGTGATCTTCCACAGTATGAAGGAAGGAGAATAACAAAAGAGGTTTGGGAGAAAAGGTTGAAGACTAGAGGTCTGGATATAGGTTTTGTCCTTGGAAATGAAGTACTGGGGAGGGTGTGTGATCCTTGAACAGAACACGGATGGGTCATGAG